GATCTTATCAAGGGTTGGAGAAGCTAAATCTCTGAAGGCAATCTATTCCAAAGCCTGCAGATAGTGGTAAAAGAGCACCTAGAAAACGTAGACGATCGACTTCTAGTAACTCTTGCAGGTTGATAAAAAATAGGTATAAACTTATAGAGAGGTGAATCATCATTTACAATCTTGTATAAGACTGAAAATTCCTCAATATCACCACGATGCCAAATCTAAGGAGACAGGAGAAATTAATTGAACGATCAAACAGTCATATATATGACTGCAGCAGATTACACGGGAGAACAATACTGAATAGGTGTCAGAATAAAAGAAAAGCATTTAAAATAAAGTCATCTTCACTTACGAATGATGCCTGACTTAAATGAAACTGCTTGGGCCATATTCCATAGTTGCAATTCAAACGTAATCTTTGAATCAAGGGTTACACCTAAGAGCTTCAGATTATCCACTGAAGTGATTAAGACTCCATTAATCAACAGACACGGATGCTGAGGCAATATGACAGACTCATAATCCTTTCCTTGGGCTTGGTAGGATTTCATGCTCCACTGAGAGCGCCACGAATGAATTATCATCAGGTCTACAGTGTGACTGTCAGCTACTATTTGGCTGGGAAAATATGGAAAAAAATATGTGACGAATGTGTTATGGCAATGCATGCTATCCACACAAACATGCGGGCACTGACTGTGCCAGGCAGCACTATGAATTCAATCCATCATAGTCTACATTATCAGTCACCTATTTAGTCACTAGCTAGACTAGCCAGGTTGCTTTATACAAGCCTGCGATTGGTGAATGAAACTGATGAAATCCGCGTGAAATATTGTGAGGCTTAGTTACCTACCAGTTAATATTGCCCATTCCTTTTCCAGCCATTTTTCTAGTGCCTGCAATTCTGCCGACTCCAAGAGCCCCTCTTCCGATAAGATAAGTCGAACTGATACCCGAGAACAACACCGTCTTGCCAGACCTGCCAGCCTTCCTCACTATCGTCCAAAAAATAATCTGATTCTAGACTGCTATCAAAAGACGAACTTAGATTGATTTCAGTATCGCTTGAACTCATATTGGACACCTTGTTGTGCTATACAATGCCAAGCAAAGAATACGAACACAATATCCAAGAAATGGTGCTACGAACCGTATTTCATCAAACGTTTAGCAGAAGACACATGTTTTGGTGAAACAGTGCTTCAAAGTGTACTTTTGAGACTGATTTTTTTTATGTTAACGTATGTTTTTTTTTCTGAAAATAAAGAACTTAGGCGATGAAAAATATGTCAGGTTGTATACAAACATAGAGGTTACTCTATATAAATTGCTTATTAGTAAACAGATGCAACACTTTCCTAATAATAATTTAGTATAAAGCTGCAGAGTATTACATATTCTGCATAATAGGTAGATCACAAGATGTATTTCAAAATTGTCTAAAGGAGGACAGTTGAGGGCGAAGATGCTGTTTCCTAAACAATAACTCCAAGACTTGATACAGTTGGTGAGTCAATTGCAAAATTCAGATAGTTTTGATTTTGAATGGATACAGAAGTTTAATTTTAAAATTTACACTCTTCAAACGTATTTTATATTATTACCAAAGTATATATTTTACAATGCACACACATGTATATAGAGCTAGATTGACATATTATCATTATTATAATTAATTTTTTTTACATACCATTATGTTGGTTGAAAGTAAAGTTATATAATTTCTATTCGTGGTAAAGTATATGACTGGAGTGCATTCTTATAAAAGGAGGAATTTCAATAGGATAAATTTAACTATTTATATTTCAACAATGCAATATTATGTGATAGCCTGATAACATTAGGGCGATATTCATGTGTATTCAGTTTAATATCATTTTCATATAAGTTCCTTTAATCAAGGAAAAGGAAAAAAAAATAGAGCTAGATTGACATATTATCATATTATAATTAATTTTTTTACATACCATTATGTTGGTTGAAAGTAAAGTTATATATTTCTATTCGTGGTAAAGTATATGACTGGAGTGCATTCTTATAAAAGGAGGAATTTCAATAGGATAAATTTAACTATTTATATTTCAACAATGCAATATTATGTGATAGCCTGATAACATTAGGGCGATATTCATGTGTATTCAGTTTAATATCATTTTCATATAAGTTCCTTTAATCAAGGAAAAGGAAAAAAAACAAAACAAAAGTTAAGGTCTCAACTTTGAAGAATATAACATGAACACGATCTACAAGTTATAGAAAAACACAGATTATATTAACTCATACAAGTCAGATGGGATGCAGGTATGGTAATGCAGAGCTTGCATTTGCACTGGCATTGTATTTCAAAATTGACAGAGATTATACTTTTTTGCATAAACAATCAGGTTTCCATCTCCTCGTCTGTTACGTTATTGGCTTCAAAGTATGAAGTGCAAAGGTGGTTGGAATGAGTCTGCTTTTAAAATTCTTAAACAAAAGGCAACAAAAGTTTGCAGTGTCGTGTTTGGGGCAATGTAAAACGGATAATATGATGTAACAAATTATAACAAAAACGGATAATATGATATTACAAATGATAATAAAAACGGACAATATGATATAACAAATGAAGAATATGGAAAATCAAACAAAACAGCTCAGTATGCAAGGATTTTTTATGGTTAAGGGTTTAGCAGCAAAGTGGAAACAAGTTCTAGTCTAGTATTAATGATGATACTATTAAAAAAAATATTTTAGATTGCATTACCAAATTACAGGTCGTTTCCTGAAATCCATTCTATGTGATCAAGATGCAACAAACAGAAGTGTTTATTCAAAGTTTGGCATTTCGGAAAGGTCAACATATATTCATGATGAGAATAAGATTCATTATCTTTTATGACACATTAGGTATAATCTAATGAATTATGAGATAAATGAAAATACGGTATGGTGGGCTCACAGACAGCAGTTCTATAGAAAAAAGACTGCAGTGCACCTTTGCCTTTCTCCCAAGTTAACTGATAAGCACATCTAACAGGGCAAGTATATCTTTCTAGTCAGGTATTTAGTAGGAGAGTGACAGCAGATATAAGTACACATACTGCATTAGGAAGCTTACCACCACAGGCTATGGACATAACCATATTCATTGAAAAAAAATATTTTGTGTAATAGGTTTAATTCTTATCAAACCAATCATTATAAAGATAATAGGTATGCCATCAATGCAAATAACTGCTCAGATCTAAAAGGTGTTTATTCATGGATTTATACATAGTTGGATCCAAGCATTTAGCTCCATGTGTTGAGGGATGGTTCGTAAACATTAAAAGTCTGCAAACTCTCTGGAATGATGTGCAACATAATTATGACTTTAAGTACATGTTCACAATTAAGCTAAACCAGGATTACCTTGGAAATTATTTAGTGTAATCAGAAATGCTGGGGGTAATAGCGACACTCCAGCAGCACGAAAATTTGGAAATTTATTCAAAACTGCAACGAGTAACCAACCAAAGTCAATGAACTGTAACTGCACTGATGATTTCTCGCCCATATTAGAATTGTTGAGAAAGAGAAAAATAGTCGACCTGAAATTAAAAACGCCTGGAAATACTCACAACATAAATAATGATAAAGAAGAAACAGACTAATTTTGGGATAATGTAATGTTAGACGAAAATTCTTTGACATATATTGATGGCTATGTCTCTCAAATGATGTTGAAAAATCATGAATGTGACCGATGCCAGTTTCAAATCCTTGGTGGCAATATAGATTATGATAATTACAGAAATCCTTACCTACACAAAAAAAAAAAGAAAGAAAGAAAAAAATGTGAAAGTACCTATATTTACATGATGCAAGCCAACTAATGCTTGACACTATTACAAAATGATAGAATGTATTTCAAAAGTATGTTAATTATCATATTGATCTTGAAAATGTTGAAAGAAATGTGATACAAAATAGAATGGAACATGTGACATTTTATTTAGACATAAAACATGAAATTAAAGAAACGCCGTTTAAATTGTACACACACACAAAAAAAAAAAAAAAAAAAAAAAAAAAAAACAGAAATTTAAATAAAAAAGACAAAGGTCAAATAGTTATTTGTTAAAAAAAAGAAAAGGTTATTGATAAAAGTTCCACGCAATTAGAAATACAATAAGGGATATAAGAGATATTTCATATTTCTTTGTGTTTACATTCATCTAAGGTAAGTACATAGTGCCACTTCAAAAATATTCTTTTTTAAGTCATTATAATTTCATTTCCTCCTCATCATATTTTATTTTAAACATGATTTATTATATTTTGTTCTTTATAACTGAGCTTTTCTTTGTTTTACTGATAACTTTCTGTTATGTTTTCTTCTGAATTGTTTGTCTATTTTATTAATTTCATAACGTAATGTTTGGACCACATTTTTGTTTTCCTTTATTTATTTTTTGTGAATGTTTCCCATGTATGGATATCTTATTGTTGAGTTTTCTTTCATGACGAATGTGGCCATTACTTTAATAAAGAAAGCACTTTGCTATTTATTTCGCTCGTTTCGTGTATTATTTCAAAGCATATTTTCTTCTTTTCGTTTCAAGCTTTAACCTTTGCATGGTCTTATTAATAATTTGCATGCCATGTTCTATTGTGTAACTATAACAGTAAACACTGTTTTTTAACCATTTTATTTACAAAATAAACTATGGACATATTTACTGATTTTCCTTAACCTCCAATATTGTTATCTGCAATCATAAATATAACTATTATATATTTTTTAAAAAATATGCCTTTAAACATATATATAGATTGTATATTTTGTCCGTAAAAAATACGTGAAAAATTATTATTTGCGAAGCAGAGATTATTAAAAGTCATGTATGTTAATACGAGTTGGCAACTTCAGAGCGCACATACGAAGCAGAGATGATTAAAAGTCATCTACGTTATTACGAGTTGGCAACTTCAGAGCGCACATACGAAGCAGAGATGATTAAAAGTCATCTACGTTATTACGAGTTGGCAACTTCAGAGCGCACATACGAAGCAGAGATGATTAAAAGTCATCTACGTTATTACGAATTGGTAACTTCAGAGCGCACATACGAAGCAGAAACGATTAAAAGTAATTTACGTTATTACACGAAGCAGAGATGATTAAAAGTCATCTACGTTATTACGAATTGGTAACTTCAGAGCGCACATACGAAGCAGAAACGATTAAAAGTAATTTACGTTATTACGAATTGGTAACTTCAGAGCGCACATATTCCCAATGCTTGAGATGAGTGCTTTGGTCCAGCCCAGCACAGGCACTCACAACCAATCAAAACCTAAATTACACGATGGCCAACCAAAACTAAACATCGCTCGTCGTGTGTGTACCCATCCGCTTCAAGGCTGGGAAACACTAGTTAAAATGCATATTTAAATCCCATTCTTACTCTCAGTGAATATGAATATCTCGATATGAATTAAATGATGATTTTTCATTATATGCATTTTTCATCAATTGCAGAAGCTACGAAAGGCGGGCTACTTGGTGCCAGAATAATTTTGTTGGTAATTTTGGTGCTGTAATATTTAAACCATATTATTCTACTTAATAAACAATATATCCGAGTCATAGGGACAAAAATCAAATCATTCAGGTGAATGATTTGATTTTCGTCAACAAACTACACACATATATAAGAATACAAAATAAGTCGTATACTAAGCTATTTCAACTCAAAAAATGCCAGAAGCAATTAGAACACCCGAGATATACGTATCCCCTCCCCTCCCCCCCACCTTCCGGATCCTGTTAAGTAACCTTTAGCAAAGTGACGAGCATGGTACTGCTAAAGGCACTGTTAAAAAATCTCGTATTACGGAAAATACAACTCATCAATGGCATTATGGCTACGAGTGTGAGTAGAGCAATAATAGAGAAATCAGTTTTAGAATATGATTACCTCCTTCACCCCTATGGTAATGTATTCTACTTCTTACTAAGTGGCAGGCATCTAGGCACCGGGCCGTCCCGGGATGGAACCGTAGGTTCTTCTTGTGAAATATATACGAGTGTCGGCGAGACAATCAGATATAAATAAGTCTAAACAGATATATATTCTTCCGTGCACAGGACTACTTGCGGAAAATAAGGAAAATAGCCAGCAATGTGCTAGCCCTACATGATGAAGTAACACAGGCTTTGCAAGATGGGATGCTCACGCTGCAACCAAACGGCAAATACCTGTGTGTCTGCAAATCAGAAATCATGAGATCTTCTATAAAGAAACACCTTGCTTCTGATAAACACAAGGTAAGATAACCACACTTTATTAACAAACATTTCAGGTCATGTAAGTCCAAAGGTATTCCCAGACCTGCTTAGTCACCAAGGAATCTGTTATTAGTCCTACCTATCTCCCCTGTTTACCCTTTTCCTTGATTTTTGGGAAGTGTCCTTTGTATTATTTCATTGTCTTTAATGTTACCGAGACTTTAATAACAATTGAATAGTCTTAATATCAATAAGAATAAAAGTATTGATAGTATTAGGAAGAGAAACACATTTTCCGCCCCTTCAAGGAATTGGGAAATCAGGACCGGTCACTTGAGCTTACTGATTGGCTGAGCACATGTAATTGGGTCATTGGGCTATCCGAAGAAGCGTTTATTAAGTGTTTGGTTAATTTAAACTTATCTAGAACATAAGATTAAGTTATTGATGGGAGTTTAAACTAACAACAGATTTAATAAACGCTTTATCGAGCAATTAGTCTGAGAACACCTTTGGATGTGCATGGCCCCATTTGTGAAATTCAAATGAGCAAGAAAGTATGTTTGAAGAAGGTATTAGTAAACATTTAAGAAATAGAAAATATGTGTGAATATGATAGGACTTAGATGTATGAGAGAGAAAAGTATATATCGTTTCAAAATATGAAAACAACTAAGAAAAAAGAACGTTGATAGCATGGGAAAAATAAAAATCATTAGTTTATATGTTAATGTATAGCATGTCCACATTAACATCAGGCAATATATTTTTTCTGTAACAGGTGGCTACATAGAAACTTCCCAAAGAGACAAAAAAGGAAAGATTTTTCACTGTAATAATTGTACATTTTGTGTTGCTTTTGACTAATTCTAAAAAAAACCCTGTTGCTACATAGGACTTCAGTACCTCGGGCCCAAGGTTTGTGTCTGTATACAAGGGTTGGTTTTAATGCTAGTCGTTTTATGGAGCACCACCGAAACTGGCTGAATTGTGTGTCCCCAACTGACCGACATGGCATATCTGCCTTAGATTTCTCAGTTGGGTGCGAGCAGTTAGTCCATGGGGCACAGGAGTGGTAATCTTTTAGATCTTTCATTGCCGTGATGTGTGAAGAATAAATAATGTAGAGTTAATCGCGCCATAATAATGTAGAGACCACCGTAGTCTAACTTTTGAGATCCAGTCTGGAATTAATGGTGTCTACCATGCTTTTGATAGCATTGCTTGGCGAGATGTTTATAATGCTCCTTGTCTTGTTCTGCATTTGTTATTGTTGGACATCATAACAGAACTCTTAAATCTCTTTCACATGATAAAGCATGGTTTAATGAAAGATGTCACCAGGCTTATAGGGACAAACATACTGCTTACAATCCCAAGTCTGCAAACCGCAGTCGTTGTTGGAAGAATAATGCAACTAATGTTTATAAGGAGGCTAAATCTGAATATGATGCTCATTTGAAAGAAGTTTTCTCAGAAGCGTCACAGCCTCATAAATGGTGCTCAACACTTAAAGCCTCTCTGGCTGGTGTTGAGTCCTCCTCTAATGAAGCCTGATGGTAGTGTTCCAGTTGAGAAAGCTATCTTAGTAAAATACGTGAATTCAGAAGTTTAGAAGATATTGAATTTCATCTTTCATGTCACCCATTACCATGCTTTAATTCATTTGCCTTCAGGTCCTCTGAAGTTAAGTATCTGTTATCAGAATTAGACGAATATGGTGGAGTAGACCCTAATGGCTTGTTTTTTTTGACAAAAAACAAACAAACAAACTAAATGGTCAATTATCCTCAAGATTAGCTGTAATCTTACGCCTTTTAGTTGGTCAATGGTTGAATTTTAGAGCGCTGGCGATTTGGTAATGTTACCCCTATTCCCAAGGGTAGACAACAGCGTGTTCATATTAATGGTAGTGCTAGCTCGTATTCCCGTGTGTCTTCTAGGGTTCCGCAGGATAGTATTCTTGGCCCTTTGCTTTTCATTTTATAAACAAGCGATATGTGGTCCGACATTACTAATAAAATGTTAACATATGCAGATGATACTTCTCTCTATGCTGACATCCTTCTCCGGCAACCAGGGAAATAGTAGCTGAAAGTCTTGTTGTAGACCTGATGATAAGTCAATCGTGGTGCCCTCGCTGCGGCATATAATTAAATCCTACTAAGTCCAAGGAGATGATTAGAACGCAATTGCCTCAGCAGGACCAAGTCTGCTCTAATAGAGTCTTAATCACTTCAGTGGATAATCTAAAGCTCTTGGGTGCAACGCTTGATTCGAAGCTTTCATTTGAATTGCAGATTAGGAATATGGCCCGGGCAGTTTCATCTAAAGTTAGGCATAATTCGCAAGTGCAAGAAAATTTCTGAAAATGATAACATTACTCGTAGATGCTTCTTTTCTTTTATTCTGCCTCATTTTGGGTATTGTTCTCCTGTTGTATTATCAGCTGCAGAGTCATTCTTACAATTGCTTGATCGTTCCTTTGATTCCATTAAATCTCGCCTGTCTGACTTTGAACATTGGGCATCGTAGGGATATTGGGGTCCTTGGTCTTATACAAGATTATAACCGTTGATTCACATTCACTCTATAAGTTTATACCTGATTTTGAGCAACCTCTCTCTCTGTCTCTGTCTCTGTCTCTCTCTCTCTCTCTCTCTCTCTCTCTCTCTCTCTTACCCTTTCTCTTTTTATCTCCTTTCTCTATCTCTCACCCTTTGTCTTTTTATCTCCTTTCTCTCCTCTCTCTCTCTCTCTCTCTCTCTCTCTCTCTCTCTCTCTCTCTCTCCTCTCTCTCTCTTCCCCCCCCCCCCCTTCTCTCTCTCTAACTAACTAAACTATAACTCTCTCTCTCTCTCTCTTTCTATTTTTTTTTTTTTTTTTAACTCATTCACTCCCCTGAGTCACTCTCTCTTCTGTATCTATATCTTTTCTCTTTCTGTCGCTCCTTTTTTTTTTCTTTCTGTCTGTCTTTTTACACACTCATTCACTCTCTCTCTCTTTCTTCCTCCTTCTCCCCCGCCTCTCTCTCTCTCTCTCTCTCCCTCTCTCTTTCTTTCTCTCTCTCGCTCTCTCTCTTACTCATGCACTCATCCCTCCTCTCTCTCTCTCACTATCATTCTTTTTATCTCTCTCTCTATCTAACGCTCTCTTTCTCTACTTCTGTCTCTCTTTCTCTTTCTTTTTTCTTTCTTTCACTCACTTATTCACTCCCTCTCTGTATTTTCTCTCTCACTTTCGTTCTCTCTCTCACTTTCTCCCTCCTCTCTCTCTCTCTCTATCAATCTATCTCTTTATTTCTATATTTCACTTTCTTTCTCTTCCTTTCTTTCTTTCACTCATTCACTCCCCCCTTTTTTCTATTTATCTCCTTTCTCTCTCTCTCCTTTCCTCCTTTTTATTTTCTCTCTGTGTGTGTATGTGTGCGTGTGCGTGTGTATGTATGTGTGTGTGTATATATATATATATATATATATATATATATATATATATATATATATATATATATACACATACATATATATATATATATATATATATATATATATATATATATATATATATATATACATACATATATATATATATATATATATATATATATATATATATATATATATATATGTGTGTGTGTGTGTGTGTGTGTGTGTGTGTGTGTGTGTGCATATATATATATACATACAAATCTATATGTATGCATATACATATGCATATATATGTGTATGTATCTGTATTCATGCACACACAAACACATAATATATATATATATATATATATATATATATATATATATATATATACATATATATATATATATATATATATACATATATATATATATATATATATATATATATATATATATATATATATATATATGTATGTGTGTGTGTGTGTGTGTGTGTGTGTGTGTGTGTGTGTGTGTGTGTGTGTGTGTGTGTGTGTTTGTTCGTTTGCATATATCTATAAAAACTGATACTGAGACAAACTTTTAGGTATCGAATGTAATTAATTCTAAACAACTATATATTCTTCCGCGCACAGAACCACTTCGAGACAAAATGGATTGTGCTAGCCACACTACCTCTCTCTCTCTTACTTTTTATTTTTCCTCTTTCTGTCTCGCTTTCTTTTCTTTCTTTCTTTTTTATGGATTCATTTACTTACTCTATCTCTATCTCTTTCGCCCTTCCCCTTCCTCAAAGTGTGAAGTTGCACAGGCTTTGCATGATGGGACGCTCACGCTGCAGCCAAACGGCAAATACCTATGCGTATGCAAATAAAAAATCTTGAAATCTTCCATAAAGCATCACTTTGCTTCTGATAAACACAAGGTAAGCAAAACACAGTTCAGTAACAAATATTTCACGGTATGCAAGTCCAAAGATATTCACAGACCAATAAACTTACGAAGTGTTTGGTTAGTTTAAACTTTCATCTAGAACATAAGCTTATAGACGGAAGTTAAAAACTAACAGCAGATTTCATGAACGCCTTATAGGGCGACTAGTCAGGGAACACCTTTGGATGTGCATGCCCCATTTGTGAATTTCAAATGAGCAAGAAAGTATGACTGAAGAGGGTATTAGAAAACATATTTAAGAAATAGAAAATATCTGAATATGATTTAATTTAGATATGGAAGAGTAAATATACCGTTCCAGAATATGGAATAATGAGAAAAGTCCTTGTTTAGTTTGTTACAGTTAATGTACAGCATATCCAAATACTAACATCCATATATATCAATATATATATATATATATATATATATATATATATATATATATATATATATAATATCCATTTGTCTATCTATCTATATATATACATATATATATTTTTTTACTAACAGATGGCTACACAGAAGCTTCTCGAAGAGACAGAAAGGAATGTAAGTACTTTTTCATCGTAATATATATATATATTACGTCTATCTATCTTTATCTTTATATAGATAAAGATAGATAGACAGGTAGATAGATTGATAGGTTGCTATGTAAAATGTATTACCTGTATACTGAAAACGTCATACTGACTTTCGGGAAAATACAGAATAGTAAAAGCAGTCAACCTGGTGTTTTCCGTTACCATGTCTCCAAAATGCAGCCATTTGTGGCTATCATTCACGTGTTGAGATATACAATTTTCTGTGAATTGGATTTAAAAGTAGTTCTTTTGTGACTGATAACTTTTAGCCTTCATAACACCTTTAGTAGCAAAAACTTCGCCCTAGATGTAAGGAAAATAATCTTCCATTTTCTCTCGCAAAAATCCATAGAAAACGAGAGATTGTACATTCAGTAAGGGTACAAATAATTCTTGAGTAATACCTATATTTTCCACACACTTGCTATTTCCATTTTTTTTTTTTTTAGTATTTTACGTATCCTAAAGTATTCTGTGGAAGACGAACAGCATGTTATATCATTATTAACTATTTTATCTCTAACAGGAAACACTGATTACAGCCTACGCCATAACGTCAGACGAGCCAGGGCATGTTTACGTGTTTAACTACGACTTCAAAGGTAAGTGAAAATGAAAGAAAATTATGCGTGTTTATATTTACGCATGTATATTCATACATACAAACACACACATATACACATAAATATTGTGTGTGCAGATAGATAAGTAGATATAGATATAGATGTATATGTATATATACTTATACATATGCACACACACACACACATGTAGTCAGAAAAATAAGCATTACACATATGTGTGTGTAGATCAATATGTATGCACACACACATACACACACACACACATATATATATACACACACAATTATATATACACATATATATATATGCATAGTCAAGTACATCGATGCATATATTTGTGTATACATCCATGTATATTTATATACACATACACATCTATATATATGTACATATATACATATACATTTATACATATCTATATATATATATATGTCGTTCCAGGTGACAAGATGGAACGCCTCGGAGCCAATGAGGACTCGAACAACCTGCTGGAGACCTTCACTCGCATGGGCTACGAGGTCTCCCTGCTCGAGAACCTCAGCGCGCAGAAGACGATGGCGGAGGTAGACCGCATTAGGAGCGACCCGGCCCTCGCCAACGTCGACGTCCTCGTCATGGTTTTCCTCAGCCACGACATAGGGTCTTTCAAATTCATGGCTGGGGACATGACGAAGCTTGACCTCCGACAAATCCGCAGGAAGTTCACAGACTCACTATGTCCCAACTTGGAAGGAAAGCCGAAAATTTTCTTCGCGAATTTCTGCCGCAAAAATGGCCTCCATATACAGACGGACGGCGTCAAGCCCACAAGGGATATGGTGACCATCCACGCGGCCCAAGACGGGCTCTCAGCGGTGCGCAACCCTTGCAATGGCAACCTTTTCGTTTGGGCTCTGTGCTCTGTGCTGGAGAAACACGCAGCCGACAAAAATCTGCGGGATATCTACTTTGAGCTTGAAAAGAAAATGACGAAATCGAAGAGGACTGTGCCTCACTGGGAGGACGATGTTTTCCGAGATTTCTATTTCACGCAAAAGGCATTTAACAAGGCTAGAGCAAGAATCCCATCGAATATAAATAACGGGAATTGTTATTTGATCTGCACACTGCATACTACTACTAATAGTCACTATTACTATTACATTATATAAAGTTTATGCTTAGACTTTTTCAGGGTTAACGCCATTCGTGCGGATTAGATACACTCTCAGTCCAGCAAGAAAACTTGAACAACCGAACTCCTGCTTTAAACGGTTACAGCGTTGTAAGCTCTATTAAGCGTCAAGCCTGAAAAAAACTCTAAAAATAAAAATAAAGGGATAATGGAAAAGTTTTAAGAGATTATGTTTTACAGTTGAACATATAAGACGGATATTGGAACGCGGCAGGTCCTATTGTATGGGTTTGGGTGTAAATTAATTGATTGTATTGGTTTATTTATCCTTTTATTATATGTTTTAAAAGTCTGTTCGCATTCAAAGTTGTGCTTAAATTGAGTTCAATTTGTGAATCATTATTGGTTTAATAGTATATATGACCAAGTGTCCACAGTCGCTACGTTTCACATTGTTTTATAGAAGTTATGGATGATCATATAGAAATTGTTTTTCATCAGTTATAGGATATAAAGGAAGAATCAGCAAGATATGTTTTTTTTATTATTTTTTTTTCCCTCCAGAATCCACTGAAATATTCGTTTAGTAAACAATTTCCAACAAAAAAGGACGAGGCCGCAGCGATAATGCAGATAATGATAATGATTATCATTATTTCTAGCACCAGTGTCAGTGACATTGTCACTATCATTATTATTGTTATTGTTGTTATGATGATGATGCCACTGTTATGTCACTGTGGTGGTGTCACTGATATTATGTCATTGTCAGTAAATAATGTGTGACATACAGTAAGAAATCCAAATTTTCCTTAAAGTGATTTATTCATTCAAAATTGTGGAAAACTCCGTATATGACAATCATGATTGCAGCATAAAAAAAGTATGGAGTGGTTACCTTGACGAAAACCACGACACTTTTCATCTATGGCAAAAGGTGCACAAATCGAAAATAAAGGAGATACAGGACAGAGAAGACAAGATCGTCCCCTTCTATGCGTACCTTGCAAGGACCCAAACAAATGTGACGCGTTACTCATTATTGCGATCTTTCAATGAGTCCATGTTTGTGAGAACGATTATTTTGTAAGTACCAGCGGCTGTTTTTTTTCCGGATACATGTATGTAATGCATTTTTTGTTTTTGTTTTATTATACTTCCTTTACATGCTTTGGTAATTATTTACGCTATTCTGTACAATGAGTTTGTGCGAAGCGCAGATTTTGCGACGATTCCGGGTCATTTTTAAAGCCATATGGTGCATATGTAGAACAAATAGACATTAGTCTCTATCACGTCCTGATATTTTAGTCCATCAAGTGCTCCTCATGCCGAAAAAAGTTATTTGAAACCAAGCAATTCTTAGACGGAGTTTCGGTAAGTAAAGGTATGTGGTTTTACCATGGGGGTTCAGGGAGACAGATCCCCTGGCTAAGTAATATATAGATCGTATTCTCTTAAAGCCACGGGGGCTAGCGAATATATAGATAGTAGTGTGTAAATCCCACAGGGTTAAGGTTAGCTTTGTTTATTGGTTAGGATGCTAGTACGATTCCCACAAGGTATCTGGATTATGTGAAATCCCGTAGATTCTTACCGAACGACGGGTATGATAAGTTCTTTTTTTTTTTCTTCGAACGTTGACGCGTCTGTCCGAAGAATTTTAAAGATTGCCGTAGAGTTTCATTAGGCAATTTTAAGCGTTTTTCTGTGCTTGTTTTTACACATTTCTGGTCTCTATTTGTTTCAACTTGTTTTACCCCGTAATTTCCCTGATCTATTCCATGCCCTCCCCAGGTATGAGAAATTAACCAAAATGGTTTAGTACGAATAGTCCCATCATCATTTTTCTGTTATGACATACCTTTATTTGCTTATCAAGTGACAAAATTTCATAGATAGGTAAATAGATAATTATGTAAATATATAACTGTTATCTGATTATGTTTACTAATACGAAAAAAAACCCTTTAATATTCAATAAACTGAATGCAGTATTGAAGACATTTGTTATTGTTAATTCCTGCAGTTGTCAAGCTATGAATTTATATGGCTAGTACTACGTTCACGCCTTAAGCTATGATTATCAGAAAAAATGAGATTAACGTTCCTTA